TAAAATGCTTTATACACCCGTAGACATATTGAGTCTGAGGATGGATGCTTTTCACGTGTGTACATGTTTTTTTTCCCCAGCCAGGAGTTGTATAATCAAATAAAGTGCTGTTCCTGTGTATTCCTTGTTTTATGGTGAATACCTGCTTTCTGTTGACAGTGTGTGTGCATGTCCTTTTGTGAAATGGGGAATTGTGCTGTGCAATCGTGCTTTATTGCATTACCATCAACTGATACGCCCTGAAAAAGTCACGCAGCTCGGAAAACGTTTGTCATGTGACTTAAGAGGAACAAATCCAACATCCCGCTTCAGTTTGGCTCTGGAGCTGGTGGGAGTGAAACATGAGAGCCATCATGATAAACGTGTTGTCAAACTTGTACTGTGGTTTATGCACATGTTCACATAACATGACATCACTGTTTCATTCAAGGAAACCAAGTACGTAAGTGGGGACGTACACAGACGACATTAGGTGGGGTGTCAGTGATCCACATCTTACATTTATTTTTGGAACACAAGTCAAGATGACATATACAGAATGTCACTATCTCCAAAGTTGCTGACAGTAATAATATTGTCTTTTTTCTACAAGCTCAATCACTTGAAACTCTGATAGGCACATGGACCAAACTAAAACAACCCACAAATCACCGTGAGTTTCGGCAGCTTTTATTTTGAAAGTGACACAGAAAACAATTCAGTCACGTGTTTTTCTGTAAAATGAAGCAATCCTCAAAGCGGGGCTTCATGGACACGCCTTCTTCCTGCTCGATACAAGTGTGACGGTGTGAGCGTCCTATCACTCTATCCAGGTTGATCATGTGCCCTGGCTACTTGGCCAAGAGGATGTCCCTTTGGCTGGAGTCTGGGGATGGAATCCCGCCCGAACCCTGCCACACAATCCTTGAATCCTTGCTTCATTTCTCCCATCACTTCCTCTACCCTGGAGCAAGTAAAGGAGTGTCCAGCGCTCTGAGTACTTTGGGTGGGGAAATGTTAAGCTGCACTTTAATCATTTGTCTTGTTTTAATCTTGTGTTTTATTGCAGATGAGGTTCCCAGTGTGTGTGGCATCTCCAGTTTAGGTGTGTGTGTGTGTGTGTGTGTGTGTGTGTGTGTGTGTGTGCGTGTGTGTGTGTCATTCCTATGATATCTCCATAAACCTATAGTTTGATTATGAATCACTAATTGTGAATAAAGAGGTTTTGCTTTGGCAGAAGTCAAAGATACTTTTGTATCCCCTTAATTTGTTCTACTTGTGAAAAAATAACCAGTCACAAACTTATTGGCCACAACTTCTCTTTTGGCCAATTTTGTTATTTCATCTAGCATAGCGTTAGCATGGGCAGAGCTTAGCTATCATGGCATTTCATCATCAAGCAAAACTCGTAACGCACCTTCGCTCCTGAGCTGTGTAATTTGCTGAAGTGCAAAAGGGTTTGTGACCGTGATAAGGGGATAGTTTTCTCCACCAGAGTGTTTAGAAAATCGACCCAACCTGCAGGTCCTGATAAAAATTTTTTAAAGGAGTTGTAATATTTCTGCTCAAGTCGAGGATGTGAGAGCCTTTCTGCACATCCCCGTTATGCATAAATTCCCCCAACACGGTCCAGCAGGAGGGTAGCTTTTTCAGCAGGTACTCTGCATTTTTCCTGTTTCGTTCAGGTGAATTCTGCAAAACATCTCGTAACATTATCGCATCAGGTAGATTTGGTTTGCTAAAACGCTGATTTGCCATTTATCTCGCTCACTGTTTAGACGAATTGTTCTGCTGTTTTTACCTTGATGGAACACATTGTGGGAAAGTAAAAACAGTCACTTTTCTGTGATGTCTCTAGTCGCTAACTTAGTACGAGGATTGCTGTAAAGACTTGATGCAATTTGCTGGGTTCCTTATGTAGGAAACTTTTTTCTGATTGGCTTAATGAACTGATCTGTATTGGAATGTTTACTATGTGAAGTGCCTTGAAACGACCCTTGTCATGATTTGGTGCTGTATAAATAAACTTGAATTGAATTGAATTGAATTTTGAATACGATGCCACAAGCTTGCCACACCTATCTTTGGGCAGTTTTGCCCGTTCCTCTTTGCAGTGCCTCTCGAGCTCCATCAGGTTGGATGGAAAGCGTCGGTGCACAGCCATTTTCAGATCTCTCCAGAGATGTTCAATGGGGTTCAGGTCTGGGCTCTGGCTGGGCCACTCAAGGACATTCACAGAGTTGTTCTGTAGCCACTCCTTCGATATTTTGGCTGTGTGCTTAGGGTCATTGTCCTGCTGAAAATTGAACCGTCGCCCCAGTCTGAGGTCAAGAGGCTTTGGAGCAGGTTTTCATCCAGGATGTCTCTGTACATCGCTGCAGTCATCTTTCCGTCTGTCCTGAGTCTTCCAGTTCCTGCCACTGAAAAACATCCCCACAGCATGATGCTGCCACCACCATGCTTCACTGTAGGGATGGTATTGACCTGGTGATGAGCGGTGCCTGATTTTCTCCAAACGTAACGCCTGGCATTCACTCATCAGACCAGAGGATTTTGTTTCTCATGGTCTGAGAGTCCCTAAGGTGCCTTTTAGCAAACTCCAGGCGAGCTGCCATGTGCCTTTTACTAAGAAGAGACTTCCGTCTGGCCACTCTACCATACAGGCCTAATTGGTGGACTGATGCAGAGATGGTTGTCCTTCTGGAAGGTTCTCCTCTCTCCACAGAGGACCGATGGAGCTGTGAAAAAGTGACCATTGGGTTATTGGTCACCTCCCTGACCACGGCCCTTCTCCCCCGTTCACTCAGCTTAGAAGGCCAACCAGCTCTAGGAAGAGTTTTGGTGGTTCCAAACGTCTTCCACTTACGGATTATGGAGGCCACTGTGCTCATAGGAACCTTTAAAGCAGCAGACATGTTTCTGTAACCTTCCCCAGCCTTGTGCCTCAGGACAATCCTGTCTCGGAGGTCTACACTCAATTCCTTTATCTTTATGCTTGGTTTGTGCTTTGACATGCACCATCAAACCCAGGGACCTTACTGTACATAGACAGGTGTGTGCCTTTCCAAATCATGTCCAATCAACTTAATTCACCACAGGTGGACTCCAATTAATCTGCTGAAACACCTCAAGGATGATCAGTGGAAACAGAAAGCACCTCAGCTCCATTCTGAGCTTCACGTCAAAGGCTGTGAATACTTCTGTTCATGTGATTTCTCAAGTTTGTTGTTTTTAATGTATGTGCAACTCTTTTCTCACATTAACATTATGTGGTGTTGTGTGTTAAATTTTATGGGCAAAATGAATTTAATCCATTTTGGAATGAGGCTGTAACATAAACAAAAAAGAGGAATAAGTGAGGCGCCATGAAGACTTTCCCATTGCACTGTATTTACCTAAGTAGTTTAGATGAGTAAAATAACTTGCAGGAGACGATGTTTGCTGTTTGGGTTCTAATAAAACAAACTTTTTAATAAATTAAGGAAATTTCAACACAGAAAAATCAGCCAAAAGGCTGCGGTTTAAATGATTAACAGCAAATCCATATATAATTATTTTTGTGAGTTTTGTTATTTTATAATTTTTTTGGTTGATAAAGATAGAACAAGTAAAATCATTCCACTTCTAGTAAAACATTAGCGTGCGTCTATTGAACTTAAGTTAAAAGCAATTCAAACTAAAGCACAAAATTTGTTAGCTGCTGTGAATTTTGCACGTAGAGTGCATAAATACTGTTGGACAGAGGAGAGCCTGGGCTTTAATTTAAACGGCGGATTCTGTGGATAGGATATTGGATTGTTGCTACTGTGTATTTTCTCTAAATGCGTTTTTAGTGTCTTTTTACGTCCTTTTGATTTAACAGCTTTTTGTTGAAACTGGGTGTTGTTGATGGAGAAAAGTTGGGTTCTGTTGTTTGGAAGATTAGTTCTTCCCGTTCTGCATGTGTGCAGTTTATACATTGGTGAATATTAAGCATGTTTTTGGAAGGACTTAGTTACTATGAATCATGCGTGGACCCGTTACTGGATTCAGGTTGAGTTTCAGTTTACAGCTGATGACATCCCCCACACTTTTGAAAAGCTTGCAACGCGCCTGCGCTTGCTTCTCCCCAGCATGAATGCACAGTTGCCTAACCACAACTTCCTGTACACAGACTCTGCTCCATGCTTTGCATTAAAGCAAAGCGGAACATCAGCATACCATTATTCCTTACATCACCTAATGTCAACAAGGTGCTCCAATGACTTTGTGACCACAGATGTCTGAGCCACAGGTCTGTAGTCATTGAGTCCAGTGATCGCTGGCTTCTTGGGGACAGGGACTATGGTGGAGGTCTACAAGCAGGCGGTCGCTTGTGACTATATATGTACTCTGGTCACACACGTCAAACATAACATTTGACGTAAATGACATAAGTGATATTTTTTCCTCGGTGTGAAAACGGTTTACAGACTTTGGAGGTCTCATGTCAGTACTCTACATGGTCAAGCTCCTCCCTAAATTGCTGAACTGTTAAAGCTTTATGCTCCAACCCGAGCCCTCAGGTCCACACACCAGAACCTTCCAGAAGTCCCAAAGACCAGCTAAAAAGCTGAGACATCGCTCCTTCCAGACTGTTGCACCTTGAGTTTGGAATGATCTTCCTTTATCCGTATGTAGTATTGCCAGTCTGGACACTTTTAAAAACAGTTGAAGACTCTTTTATGTAAAGCTGATTTTAAATAAATCTTTTATTTTCTTATTTTAAACTCAAATTTGTAATCATCTTGTTTTATGGTATTTTATAATTTCATGACTTTGTTTTTATCTTTATGATTTTATGATGTTATTATTTGTTTTGAAGCACTTTGTGATTTTCTGTCTGAGATGAGTGCAAGATAAAATTTACTGACTGACTTCCCTACCTTCTGCATGTTCATTTCCTTCTTGGTAATCCCCGTTTAAGCCACTCCTCCGGTGTAAGACGTGGTCCCACGCGTTTATGTTCACTCGTCTGTTATCACATCCTCTTTCTCCTCTGGTTTGCATTTGCAGTCTGCTTCTTGTTAGCTCAACTTTTTCAGTCACAAAGTGACATCCAGATCGAAGATCTCTGATTACTTTTACCTGCACATTTTTGCCCTCTTGCTCATTTTTGCTTTTTCCCAGCTGAATCAACCATCTTTGTTTCTACATCTTCAGACAGGTGAGTGTTTTAAGTCTTAATCTGAATTTCAGAAAGATTAACGTACTTTTGAACTGATGACTCATGTAAGGCCAGCTTTAATGACCAAACACTAAGATTATCTTCCAGCTTCTGTTCTCAGACATGGATGACTTTGTTCGTGACAAACTCACCGAGTGGGGACTGAGTGAGTTGATCGACATATTTCGAGGTGAGGCTTTAATATTCAGTTTAGTGATTGCATGGACGTAATTTTCAGTTTAAAAGTGGGGGGGGACACGGGGGGGGGGGGGGGGATCTTTACAGTATGTTCTAATAGGAAACAGGCTTCAACACAAACGGTTGTTTTCCGCTTGGTCCTAGAGCTCAACCAGTGTCAATTTAATATAGTGTAATATTGTTTTTGGATGGTAAAAAGGGCAGGGGTCAAAACTTGACTTTGGAAAATGTGGGGGGGACATGCCCCCCCCCCCCCCCCCAAATTACGTCCATGAGTGATTGGGTAAAAGTGCTGTTGTTGAGCGATCAGAAGCAATTTTAAGCAAGGAAGAGACAAACACTTAGCCGATCAAACCAACTCTGTGAGGAGGGTCGGTGCTTAAAGTGAGGGTCAATGCTTGGGTGGAGACGTATTTCATCCACACTTCCTGTTAGAAAACGCTTCTGAAAGAGAGAGCGGCACTGAGGCAGTGATACACCGCATCCCCCTCAACCCCCCCACGTGTGCAGTCAGTGTTTCTCCATCTAAAAACGAGCACACTCACACAAGGCTTACCGCTCAGGAGAAAAGCAGACACAGACTCTGCAGCATTCTGGAGGATTTCCTGTTAAACGCGATCATTACATGAAAGGGGAGGAGGACATTCATTTCAAGGAGGCGAGCGGCTCAGAGCAAATGCCCCTGATTGCAGTCCACAGATCGGGGCGGGGCACATTTGACTCCGACCACCGCACGGGCGCCATGTTGAAAAAAACCCATGTAGAGGCCGGGTGTTGTGCCCAAAAGTGATCGTCTGCCAGAAACTGATTGCCGTCTGCGGGAGCGCGGGCAGCTGCTGCAGCGCCTGGATTACTTGTGTTGCCACTACTTCTGTGCAACTGGTATAACGTGTCACTGAAAAAATATTCCTGCTTCAAACTTGTTTGATATCATTCAGAAGGATCATATGTGACACATTATATCCCAATCAGTCTCTAATGACTGCTGAATAACTTTGAAAGGATCATTAATAGAGCTCTGGACCCCACGTGACTCTCAGTTAGTGAACGCCATTTTGGCATGCAAAAAAGGTAAACAAACACGGATGTAACCATGAACACGAACGGGATCCGCTTGGATTTTACTTCGTCGGAGTTTACTTCACACTTTAAAACAGAAGAAATCGTTTTATATAGTCAGAAATTAAATAGACTAAACATCTCCGACCCTTACCGTGCCCCTGGGATACTTTTTAAAAACGCCAGAAGCTGTCGGAGCGGACTTCTTACCGGCACAACACCGGACCTGACCGGGGAACCCCTTGGGATTCCCCCGGCCGGAGGAGCTGGGGAGAGGTCTGGGACTCTTGACTCTACTGCCCGCTCCGACGCCAGAAGCTGTCGGAGCGGGCTTCTTACCAGCACAACACCGGACCTGGCCGGGGAACCCCTTGGGATTTACCCGGAGGAGCTGGCTCCGGCGGCTGGGGAGAGGGAAGTCACGCGAACCCGCAACCCGATTCCAGATACGCGGATGAAAATGGATGGATGGACGGACAAATAACAGATTTACACGTAAGTAGTCTCGGTGACACAGATAATAGCAATCCAAAGTGCTTTTTATGTGTGATCTGACAATTGATCAACCATTGCTTAAAAATAAAATACAGCTTAGCCGGTTAATTGCTGTGATGATAAAACACGGAAACGGCAGCACGCAGAACTCACGAGGCAAAGTTTTACGTGACGTTTACTTGTTACTATGAGTAATAAGACAGAAAAAGCCACGCCAAAATAAGTTTAGGAAGCCCACTAAGAATCATAATAAAAGCATTTAAAATAAATACCATACACAGTAGAGGAAACGTTGGTTTAAGTACCTGATATGAAGCGGTCGCTGCATAAGCGAAAACTTTTACTCTCGGGATCCCACAGTTTCATTTTAGCCCGGTCACTAGCGCGTTTTATTATAATGATCCAACGTTTGCGGCGCTCCGGATCTTGGGGAATCCTGTAGATGGCTCATTCCATAGGGCTGCATGGTGGCGCAGTGGTTAGCACTGTTGCCTCGCAGCACGAAGGTCGCAGGTTCAAAAAACTCGCCTTTCTGCGTGGAGTTGCGTGTTCTCCCCATGCATGCGTGGGTTTTCTCCGGGTACTCCGGTTTCCCCCACAGATCACAACATGCCCTATAGGTTAAAAAAATAATTGTAAGTCGCTTTGGATAAAAGCGTCTGCTAAGCACATAAACATAAACATAAACATTCCTTATGTCGTCCGGGTCTGTTCTGCATCCTGGGGCACAACAGGAATCTACCATATTTCCTGTCTGATTGAGTTTTCTGACAATAACAAATAGTCCAGCTGCGGGCTTCTGCCCGCCAAATGGCGCCGTTTCAATTTGAACTGTTGCATGCCGGGAGAAGTGACGTCAACTCCCGGAGCTCTATACCCATAATATGCCATTTTAGTAAGTTTGAAGCAGGAATATTTTTTCTGTGACAACATATAGGCGGCAATCACTTTTTGGCAGCTTGAAAATGGCATATTATCGATATATTATTGTTCCTGTACACGTTGTTCAGCAGTTCTAAGGGACGGCAATCAGTTTCTGGCAGACGCTCATTTTTGGGCACAACACCGGCTTCCATTTTACATAGGTCTCCTTCGCCCCCAGTGCACTCATGTCTTCAGAGGAACGTGCTTACACAACTACAAAACACATTTTATCAATGTTTTTCACAAAATGTGATATGGTATGGCACGATAATTAAAATAGAAATATAATTGAACTAAATAAATTAAAATGTAAAATTCTATCAGTTGCTCATTCTGTATTGACTTTGGAGAGAGAGGAGACTCATCCGACATGGCGGTGATGCTCTCCAGCGCCCAATCGTCTATGAATTCATGTCTTTGATGTCAGCATAACAATGATAACCAAATAACCTGTTTGGTGGATTTCAATAAAATACATACAAAAGGCAGATGACTAAGTTAAATGAAATAGGTGCCATTTTTTTTATTCTAATCTGTTCTGTTGATCTTATTATTCTTTATTCTACTCTTTTGTATTTATAGTATGTCTTTTAACTATTTTGGTATCATTATTTATTTTTGCTCCTGACACCAAGACATGTTCCTCGTGCTGTAAACTGAACTTTACTGCTACTGACAATAAGAACAGCTCTGACTCTGATATGTTACACCTAAGCTTATGATGAAATAAAAAAAAAGCTTTTGTATGGGGCACCATTCATTATTATTTATATCAAGATCAGGTCTGGTGCCAAAATGTGTTCATGTAAATACCACCAAATACTAAGGTAATAAAATATTCTATATACATACTTGTTAATAAAACAGTACTAAAACAATGGTAATACGTTTCCATTTCCATGAGCCCTCACAACCTTTTACTGAGGTTCAGCTCCCACTGGACTAAAAACGTATTACCTAGTCCACCTGAAGAGGAACAGTGAAGTGAAACGGACATTTAATATTGGGCTTCTAACTATATTTTATATATATATATATATATATATATATATATATATAATATTCAGCGCTTTGGGCTTCCTGACAGGATTGCGGAAGGCGCTTTATAAATAAAGCTTTGATTGATTGATTGATTGATTGATTGATTGATATTAAAGCAGAAATAGCTAAAGGTTCGTGCATTCGATACACTTCAACATTCTTATAACGTGTCAAAAGTTTTTTTTAACTGTAAGTCCATTATTTTAATTTTTTTATATTATTTTACGAGTGTGAAAACAGTAGAGATATAGACACATGTACAATTTTTTTTGTGCACCCAGTTATGTCAGCTACATTAAGGGGGACCGAGACTGAATTGTGCCATTGACACTTATTAAAACATGCCAGGGTTTGAGGTGGGGTGGTGAGACAGTGGACCCAAGGATGCAGACGTAATGTTTAAAAAAGGTCAATTTAATAACGCAAACAAAAGCCAGCAGTAGAACATAGGAATAAAAAATACAAACAAAAGAACCAAAAAGCACACAAAAATAAAAAAATCCTCTAAAAAACAACTTACTGAGGAAACTGAACACAAAAATGATTACCATAATACTCAGACACAAACACATTCCTGCAGGGAAAAAGATTTTATGGGGTGTCAAATCCTGCGAACACCTGCATCTTCCTCTTGTCACAAAGTTCAACACAGAACTCCTCGTAGTCTTCCTGCAAACTAAAAAAGAACAGGAACGGTTCCCTCACATCTTTAAGCTCCTCATCATCGTCATCCAGGCCATCACACATGTCTAACATCTGTACCGCCCTCAAAGAAGCTTCCTTGTCCATGGTGATGACCTGGGGAAGGGAAAGTTTTCCTTTGAAGGATCTGGTGCCACACCACCTTGCTGCCTCAAAGGTGTCCTTCAGCAGAAAGTTCTCCTAAACAAAAGTAAACACGATAAATATTAAAATACAAGTTGGAAAAGGCAGAAACAGTGCAATTAGAAAAGCCCACAACAGGTAACGTACTCTGTTCCCCATTCTGGCCTGTTCTCAGCCTCCGCTAGAAAGGAAACAGATTGTGCTTCTTAAAGACACATTAACAATACAAAATGTAAAAAAGATCACTAGCTTATTTTAAGCATACTGGTTTAATGTAAAAGGAGTAATGACAGCAAAACTCACTTTGTCACATCCCATTTCTACAACCTTGGGGGTTGTGTGTAATAATACTGGTTTGAACAATACCTGATGCTGCACAGACAGATTCTGAAAGCCTGAACTTTTTAGGAGGGACCACTTCCACATCCTGAAATAAGTGAAGGGATTGCGCTTTACGCCGGGGACACACTGGCCACGGAAGCGCCGCGAAGCGAATCGCTCACGAAATTCGGCCGCTGCTCGTCGCTCCTCAGTTCAGATCAGACGCGCCCCAGTCGAGGCGCGCCTCGGCTCAGCTGTAGTTTTTCTTTTAACCACTTGGTGTCCTCCATTTCCTCTCTGCCTTTTCTCAGCTCTTTTCCTCTACGTTTGAGTGTTTGTACGTGTGTGTGTGTGTGTGTGTGTGTGTGTGTGTGTGTGTGTGTGTGTGTGTGTGTGTGTGTGTGTGTGTGTGTGTGTGTGTGTGTGTGTGTGTGTGTGTGTGTGTGTGTGTGTGTGTGTGTGTGTGTGTACCTATGGTATGAGTTGTTTCTGCCAGTTGAATCTCTTGGAACCCGCTCCAATTCTGCAGCTGTATCCTAGCAGTTTCTTCCGACATGGGTGCGTAAATAATCATGTTTTTCGGGGGTCGTACAGCTCCTTGTGTTTCTCAACTTCCACAATTAATTTAAAGTCATCCATCTTAACTGCTTGCCTCAGACTTTCTGCCTCTCTGTCCTGTTTGCTCCGATGAAAAGACACCCAAAACCACACACCCCTTCACGTGGTCACACATGCACACAAGTTCGATGTGTGTGTATGTGTGTGCGTGTTCGTGTGGTTTTTCTGCAGTGTCTGATTACGAACACATTTGACTATTGCGGAATTTTATTTTGAAATGCTTTATTTTGTTAACTTTACCGGCCTGCCTCTTATGTCTAGGTTTGACTTCCTGCCAGAATTGACGCAATTCACCCGCGGCTCGCGGAAAAAATAGAGCCGGCGCCGAAACGATCGCTGCACGGCGCGGGCTGCGATTCGCGGTGCTTCGGCGGCCCATGTGGTCTATAGAATAGTTTAACAAGGGCGCCAAATGAAGGCGGTCCCATTTTCGCGGCGCTTCCGCGGCCGGTGTGTCCCCGGCGTTAGTCTGCAAGCAATAGTTTGACTACAAGATTAATTAATCCAATTACCTCTCACCTGTTTTACCTTTTCCTCGCTCCGTGTTTTTCTTTCCTGCAGTCTGTCTTCCTCAGACCTTGGTGATGCCATGACAACATTCATTCACTGTTTTTGTTCTTTTTTTTTTAACAGTGAGAAAAACTGTTTTTTTTAAGTATCTGATAGAAAAAGTGTGATCATGAAAGGCACTTAAGGCATGGGGAAGTTTTGCAGGAGAAACACCACCATCTCCTAATTTGCTGCATGTTTTCCTTTGAAAAAAAGAAATGCAGGAAGATTCAGATATGTGTTGAAGAATAAAACCTTGTGTACTAAGTGTAATGTGTCACAATTTTCACATACCTCTCTGAAGTCACAATTGGCCGCCATTACTACAGTGCGTACTGTAAGTCAAGAGGTACTGGTTAATTTACTAATGTCATTAATATTCCCCCAGAATACATTTTCAGATACAAATATTGTGTTTTTAATGTGCCAGGCAAACATTTTACATACTAAAAAGGTCTTACGATCAAAACAAACGCACCACAGTTGTTGGAGCACCTTTGCTTTGTTATGCCCTGAGGTGTGAACAAGGTCTTTTACTAAAAAAATGGCAAGAAAATAGTAAACGTTTGTAAATGCTATGAAGTAATGTCTCACCTGAACATCATCCACGCCAAGCTCCATCCAGGGGCCAGGAGACAGGCTGTGAGCAATGTGTCTGTGCAAAGAGTAAGAGGAAATAACAAGTTACTCAACTAAATCGACTTTTGTTTCCAATGCATAAAATAAATCACACAATTTCCTAATTAGTTGCTAACTAGTTAATTTGGTTTTACTTTATTCTATATTTAGCATGTAACAACGATAAATATAGAACATATTTTCCCCACGTAAAGTATAATATTTCCCCCCAAAAGTGATCACATAACATTTTTCCTCAGAGCTATATTTCTTATCAACATTACGTCGTGCCAGATATTATATTAATCTAGGACTCAGAATAAGACTTTTAAAGTCTATCTTAATAATGTACAAATGAGGAAAATACCTTTTAAGTCAAGTTAACCATTACATCAATCTAAAACTCAGAAAAAGACTTTACGTCCAGGTTAATAACATTTTCGTCTCAACATTAATGCTTAGTATCGTTAAAACAGAATGAAAATCCATGCCTACCTCCATTCTGCATGCTACTTCTCTGTCACACACACCCTCCTCAGCACTTTCAGTCTATGGTTTCAGTGAGCGGGGTCAAACATTTAACACTGCCCACATTGCACCTAACTTAAATTCTAACAGATGGATTTTTATATTTCATTTTATTTAGTTTAATTATATTTATATAATTTTAATTATTATTATTTTATTATTTATTATTATTATTATTATTATTATTATTTATTATTTATTATTTATTATTATTTTAATTATCATGCATTACCATATCTGATTTTGTGAAAAAGCTTAATGAAATGTGTTTTTAGTTAGCACGTTCCTCTGTAGAAATGAGTGCACTGGGGGTGAAGGAGACCTATCTAAAATGGCGGCCGGCCTCTACATGGGGTTTTTCAACATGGCGCCCGCGTGGTGGGCGGAGTCAAATGTTGTGCCCCGCCCCGATCTAGTTGGACTCCGCCCATGTTGTGCCCGGCTCTGATCTAGTTGGACTCCGCCCATGTTGTGCCCGGCTCTGATCTTGCTCAGAGCGCTAAGGAGTCATATCGGCAGGTGAGTGGCTGAGCCAGGCGGAGGTGCGGCTATCTCACCAGGAGACCAGTGCAGTGCAGCCACGTAGTACTGTGCTGACAACGTCACGTTTTTCAGCTTAGCCATCAGCCACAGCTGGTTCTACATGAATGTGTAGCAGAGCTTTTAACCTGAAGATGGAGATATAATTATGGTTTTTGGCTGAAATATTAAATTTAAAGTAAGTTGCACTAAACTGCCACACTAATGATTACACATGTGTGCAGCACCATTAGACACTCATCTATACAGGTTATCAGCAAAAACAAGTTAATTTAGACTTTACTTGCTCTTTAAATCTGCAGAATCATTACAGCGCTCTAGTTAACCAAACATGAACGTCTAGATTTCCCAAAATCGAAACTAAGAAACAAAGCTGGTCTTTGGGGCAGTTTGAGCTGATGGTTATAGTTTTAATATTGCATTCAATGTTCTTTGCTCTGCAATTATTCTTCTGTTTTATTACTTTTACAGCAGGTTTTATCTTTTTGCTTGGCTGAACTGTTGACTGTTTTGGTTAACCTCTGCTATGTTTAAAGGCACACCAGGCAACTTTTTCATATTTTTAAATCATTCTCTTCAGCCAGTATGTGCTAAAATGACAGGGTACTGAAATATCACTCAGATCCTAACATGGAACTAGGATTGGGACAATGTTACATATAATTTGTACTACGCTTTGTAACTGGTAACATGTTTTGTAACTGTGACTTTTGTTTTGTAACGTATAACTTTCGTTTTGTAGCATGTAATTCTCATTTTGTAAAATGTTACTTCGGTATGTAACATTAAAAACTTTAATTTTGTAACTTGCATAAAAAATCAGTGTGCAAGTTTCAAATCAGAACTTTCGAAACACAAATCTCAGTCTACAAAATTCAAGTCTAAAAGTACAAACAGTTTGTCCCAGTTCTAGCATGCTTCCAAAAGAACAAAACAAAGGTTTTGTCTTCTCAGCCAATCATGTGTCTCGGATTTCTGTCCAATAGTAGAGGTTGTAGAGGTGGGCAGAGGTCAGTGGGTGTATGCTACTGGTCTGCTCACAACAACCTAACTCGGTAAAGTTCTCACAAAGCTAAAGTTGGTTCCAATTTCTGGTTCCTGCTTTGCAACGGGCAATTCCACTCAAATTTCACCCTCTCAAAGCCTCTGTAGTTTACACCTATTATAAAACTACAACACTTAGACTCTTCAAACCTGGACTAGATCATTCTTGACCAACAGCAGATTGCATAAAATCTAGTTAGGGAGTCATGAAACCTTTTTCTGATTTGTAAAACTTTGAAAAAAATGCTAATTTTTACATTTTATTATCATCTAGACCACATTGGAACTGGTCGTGTGCAAAACCTACAACACCTACATGCTTCAAACCTGGACAAGATTAGTCTAGACTAACATCTGGTTCCATAAAACCTAGTTTGTGATTTACTGGTAAAGAGTGAAAATGTGAGCAGGTTTGGTTGTGAGCAGTACAACAAACCTCTGCCCTCCTGCCATGATTGGACAGGAATCCAAGACTCATGATTGGCTGGTCAGACAAAACCTGTCATTGGTTCTTTGGGAAGGAAGCTAGAATTGGGAAAAATGTATTTTGTGCTTGTAGAGTTGAGTTTTGTAACTGTAGACTGAGATGTGCGATTTGAGAATTGATATTTGAAACCTGTACATTTATTGTTTTCTGCAAGTTACAGAAGGAAAGTTTCATGTTACGTACCAAAAGGTTTGTACTATAGATGCATTTGCACCAGTTACTACTAACTCTCCGTGCCACTAGCCTGACCAGCCAGCCACCTGCTTCCTCATGGGACGCATTAGTTCTCTGTGTAGAATTAAACAGAAGACAGGTTTGGCAGGCCAGGCTACTGTGCCACATCATCAGACTTTAAACAATAACCACTGTGGTGTTTAAAAGACGTCTGCCTGGCTTTGATTTATTCAAAACACTTTGTGATTGCAGCTCACGATGTGAACGAGGAATCTTTTTACTGTCTTGAAGAATGCGACATCGATAGTCTGATTCCAAAAGTGGGAACAAGGTCACGATTCAAAAAGAAACTCAAAATATTAAAGGTAAAGTGACGAGCTTGTAAATAATAAAAAGAGGTTGCTTTACTACAGTTAGTTTTTTTCTTTAAATTCTGATGAAATCATGAATTTGACCTAAAATTTCTTGGAAGATAATTTTGTGTCACCTTAAATGTTAATTTTTATAGGAAGAACAAAGCACAAGCCATGAAGCATATATTTGTTTTGCATGAGTCATTTTTAAAACTATTTTATTTTCTAAACTGCTTGTCTAACACTGAGAATTGTTACTTTTTTTATTGGATCTGCAGCAGCATGAAGAAACACCTCATCAAAGTGAGGTAAGAATGACCCTAAAATTCTCAAACACCACTTTGTGAAGTGCCTTGAGACACTTGTTGTGATTTGAAGCTAAAAAAATAAATTGAATTGAATTAGTTTATATTTATTCATGGGAAATTAACATCATTTTCTAAAACCACAAATTAAAAATAATTGCTAAATTCCTGACCCACACTTTTTCAAGTTCCAACCATCAGCATATATACTGGACAATTTGCGTCCATTGGCTCGAACTGTAAGTTTTTGTGCCAAAATGGGAGGTTCCCACCACCGCCATTTTGACTGTGTCACAGGTCCAGTCACGCCCAGACTATCTAAAAATGGGAAAAGAAATGGAGCTGAGGGTGGGGCTGTTATGTTTGGAACAGGGCTGGAACAAATGAACCAGTGTAGCTACTAGCTAACGTAGCTAACCCAAGAAGCTAAGAAGGGGTCCTTGGACAGGTGTATCCTACCTGCATGGCAAACTGGCTCCCGTGCGAGGCTATAGTCATGCTGATTGCCTGTGGAGATCTACGTATAACAGACTGGGACTGTTGAATTACTAGCAGAGCCTCAGATCGCTGCGATCCTAACCGGATGCTGTGGCGTTTTAAATCAGCTCTTGCACCACAGTTGGGAGATAAGCGGGACACTAGTTACATGATAACCCAAAGCGAATGGAGTTTTCCCGGCCGTTTTCAGCAAGAAAAACACGGCAGAACAACTCCAAAGTAAAGGGACCTCCGACCTACTTAGTAACAAAATCATAACTAGGTAAGCTGTCCGAGGACATCGGGCTTCGCTGATCCACTGTGGTGAAAGATCTGCGAGTCCACCGTTGTTGATGTTCCCTTCTCCGGGAGCCGGAGATCAGCGGGACATTAGCTGCATGCTAACCTGAAGCTAACAGAGTTTTTCTGGGTGTTTTGAGCAAGAAAAATGTGGTTGAGCGTCTCAAAAGTGAAGCAGCCTCCTCAAAAAGAGCTGCAGTGTTTCTGTGGTCTCCCTCAGAGATCTGCATGACTACAGCCTCGCTTCAGAGCCGGCCCGGCTGCCCCGGGAAGCAGGAACAGGCAGCCACCTACTATTTTCAGGCAAGAAACCGTAGAAGCTGGGCACCCGCTCAAGTTTCACAGAGCAGTTAAATGATACAGCATTTCCCCCCATTCAACCAGCAAACCAAAGTACAGAAATATAATTTTGCTTACTGATGAAAAGAAGCAGCTTCTCCTTTTGTCCAACTAATTCCATGATTAACATCCAAACACCAACACAGACACAAAGACAAAACTAAAGTTTAGAGAGTCGAAATGGCCAAACATTTATTAACACGAGGCCGAGGCCTTTCTTCGGACCTAGCTCGAAGGTCACATGGATGCTAATTAATTATTCCGATTTTTAAGCATTAAACTCCACTTGAACAGAAGAGGTACAAAAAAAATTCACCCCCCTCAGAGTTGTCATTAATGTAATCTATTAAAGTTAAAATGGTTTTTGGAACCAGGCTGTAAACATGTTTATTTGTGCTGTAAAAAAGGCATTTTTTGTCATGTTCTGTGTCCCTTTGTTCCCCAGCCCATCCAGTTCCCACTCCAGGTTTTCCTCTTGTGTCCCATTATTATCCCCAGCCCTCTGTAGACTTCCCTCAGGTGTCCTTCTAATCATTCCCCATTCCTAATCAATCTTTATTTAGTCCTCCTCATCTGTCTAGTTATCAGTTGTTTATTTTTGGCCCTCAGTCTTTAGGTTTAGTTTAATCCTTGTGTTATAGTTTTAGGTTTATCTGCCCTCCTCTGGTTTTGTTCCCCATTTAGATAATTGTATGCGCCTGCTTTCCCTCCAGCCCTCACTCCACACACCTGCTGCCTGTTTCCCTAATTGCTCCTCTCTGTGTTTAAAACCCCTGTCTTGTCCTTCAGTGACTACGTTTACATGCAGCCAATATCCGGGTTATGATCGGGTTAAGGTCGGTATTCGGGTTTCTGAGTTGATCAGAATAACCCGTTTACAAGCATAAATAGAAAGAGTTACCCCTAACTTGCATAACCCTATTTAAATGCGGACGTTGGGGTAGCGTCAGGACGTATGGACTACGTCCAGGCGCAATATGCACCATTTCCGGTTCTTCTTGTTTCGGTATCCGTGAAAACAACAACATGTTTCCCAGTTCGCAAGAGATAGCGACCTCGTTTGTTTGCGCTTTAATTTCCTCGTCACTCCAAAAGTGTGGTGCTGTGCCGCGACTCACCATGTTGCTCCCAACTTGTTGTT